GACATCTTGACATCAGACACTTCAAAGCTTTCCTCTGAGTTCTGAATTTAGGACTTTGGAGAAGACTCAGCTTCATGCCTCAGTGGTCAGTCCCAACACAGAAACTAGAGGAGCAGGAGACAGTGAGTGGGAGAGAAGGGCCTGCAGGGATGGAGGAGATTGTCAGATTGCTGAGCCTGGCTGCACACAATTCCAGAGCGCTGATCACCTCTCTTTGTATTCAGTCGTCCCTGACCTCAGCAGCTCCTGCCAACACAGTCCCTGCTCAGTAGGACAGTCTATGGCTGCCAACGGGCCAGACTGTCCCCCCTTCCCAGCTCTCAGGGGTGGGTAACTGCCACAGAGAATCACTTCTAGGAAAAGAGCTGACATGAATGGAATTCACCTGAACATTCAACATTGTCCATCCGTGACTGGAAGAAGGTCACAGGGTGACTTTCAGTCTGGGAGCTGGGCTGCGTAGGTGGCAGTTGGCAAATTCTAATGGCTGTGTACTCAGAGAGCTCAGGTCTAGCCAGGAAGATTGGAGGTAGAGCTAGGGACACAGGAGGCTCCTGGAGTCTGTGGCTGTGGAGCTCGGAGTTGAGTAGGTCTTCCTGTGAACTTAAATGCAGGCTGCTTGGGGAAGGCACTGCATGCCATTTCCCCTAAGCTGGGATGGCTCCTCACATGGAGCCTGCTGCAGGCCTCTGCACTCCCGCTGTGCTCCTCAAATCAATGCTTTGCACGTGGACTGCTCCTCGACACGTGGGCTTCTCCAACAAGTGTAATGAATGCACCCGCACAGCCACCTCAGCAGCCTAAGTGCAGTGCTCTTACAGAACCCTCTGGCACTTCCCTGCGACTCCCCCTGCTCATGTGATACATCGGGAGATCCGAGAGAGGCTCCTAGGTTTGTCTAAACTTCTAACATCATGACATGATGTTGCCATCTACAAAGTTCACGTGAAAGCATTGAACAATCAAGTTACCAAAAAAAAGCTCACAAAAGACTCATTTTATTTATTTTTTTTTATATCTTACCTGTATGAGTGTTTTGCCTGCATGTGTGTAAGTACACCCATGTTGTGCGATGCCCACGGAGGTCAGAAGAGCCGGCATCAGATCCCTCAGAACTGAAGTTAGGAATGGTTTTAAGCTGCCACCGTGGGTGCTGGGAATTGAACCTGGGTCCTCTGCAAGAGCAGCCAGTGTTCTTTACTGATGAGTCATGTCTCCAGCCCAAGACTCTTTTTTTTTTTTTTTGGTCTTTTAAGACAGGGTCTCCCTGTAGTCCCAGTTGTCCTGTAACTCACTATGTAGACCACGCTGGCCTTGAACTCACAGAGATCCGCCTGCCTCTGCCTCCCAAGTGCTGGGATTAAAGGTGTGCCACCACGCCCGGCTCCAAGACTCATTTTTAAGTGTAGTGGTTTGAAGGTTCAGTGTCTCCCATGTGTTGGAATGCTTGGTTCCCAGCTGGTGATGCTGTTTACCTTTAGGAAATGGAGCCTTGCTGGAGGAAGTAGGTCACTGGGGGCGGGCCTTGAGGTTTTATAGCCAGCCCCACTTCCTGTTCACTCTCTGCCTCCTGAGTGCAGAGGCAACGTGGCAGCAGACCTCCCACTCCTGCTGCTCTGCCTTCCCCATTATGATGGGCTGTATCCTCTCCAGTTGTAAACTCTTCCTTCTTTAAATTGCTTTTCATAGCCAGGTGTGGTGGCACACGCCTTTAATCCCCAGCACTCGGGAGGCAGAGGCAGGCGGATCTCTGTGAGTTCAAGGCCAGCCTGGTCTACATAGTGAGTTCAAGGACAGCTGGGGCTACAGGGAGACCCTGTCTCAAAAAAATATCAAAAAATAAATAATAATTAAATAAACAAATAAATAAATAATAAATTGCTTGTTATCAGGCATTTTGTCATAGCATTGAGAAAAGCAACCAATCCAGTAGGTTGATGGTTTTGTGTTGGGCCGATTTC